CCCGGCTTTGGCAGTCCCGGGGGGTACCACAGCCATGGAGGGAAGCACCCGGCCCCCGCACGGCTCAGGCAGGCAGGCAGGCTCCAGGGAGGGGAGTGGGGGAAAGATCAGGCTCTCTGTTTTTCTTGGGGAGAGCGTGCTTTCCCAGCCTGCTGCAAGGCTGCCTGCAGGGCTTCTTGCAGAGCCGTGGAGCTGCACGGAGCCTGGTGCTTTGCTCCATGGCTGAAGAGGCAGCAAATTAAAATTCCTTGAAGGAGTTTTAGTTTGCTCTACCCCAACTCGTTTAAGGCAGATTGCACCACCGAATTTTCTACAGAGGCTAGAATTAATACACAATACGTTGCCAAGGCATGCAAACACCGACACCAAAGTGGTGCCAAAGCCTTTAGCCTGCTTTAAAGTGTCCTGCACACATGCCTCTAGTTTTGTCTACACACAGCCTAGGACAAGTGCAGATGAGTAGCTCTAATCTGTTGCTTTGAAACTGCCCGCATGTCCTCCCAACTGCTTTATCTGGAATTAGACCAGAATCTCTTAATGTGGAGACAAAAATCAATACCTAAGCTTTGAGAAGAATAAGTAATTGAGCGTTGCCTAGAAGTAGCTACCTATGAAGTGGTGGAGTAATTTCAGTAACAAGTTCCCAACAGATCTCAGAATAGTGTGGTATGTTTGGCTTTGAAAATTGGATTTCCAACAACCTCTCTGTTCTGAGGCTACTAGCTTTACTACATTTGCTCCTAAGATTGGTGTAAAATACAGAAAATACAAAGTAATAGTGAATTTTACTCGCCAGTAATTTGCAGCCATTTGAAGAAAAATTGTACTGAAAACACAGCTTTAATGAATTCTGACTTCTGCACCACTCTGAGACCTGTTGACCTTCAAATGCTACCACAGGGAGGGACCACAGAGTAGTTCATATAGCCTATGAACAAACTGGCTTCACTGGTATTTACCCTTTTTGTTGTTATATGGTGAGTCACAATGCATTTCAGAAAATCTAGTAAGTGTGGTTAAGTTTAGCAACTATAAATCAAGGCTTAACCCTAGTTGTAAACATTATACAGAGGCAGTAAAACTGAATGTGCTTCTCCTTTATAATCTCCTCTCAAAATGACTAACACTCTGTTTTTTAGGAAGCTGATAGCAATGCACTAGAATATAGAGTTGCATTACCAAAACTGCCTTAAAAAAGGTAACCTAGGGCTAGAAGACTGTCTGGGTAAACCAGTCTGAGCACTTAGGGCTTCCAAAGCCTTTTAGAGGTAAAATTGGTAACTAAAAAGGCAATGTTATCATTAATTTAGTTTTTTTTTCCCTATTTTTGTTTTATCAGGAACTTGCCACTAGCTATTGCCGTTTCTATGCCAATTGTGACAGTTATCTATATTATGACCAACATAGCTTACTATACGGTGCTGGATATTAATGCTGTTCTTTCTAGTGATGCTGTGGCAGTGGTAAGTCAAACATATACCATACTGCTATATTGCTACTCTTCAAATTTTAGTGACACATTATCATTTTGTGAATATATAATCTCAAATTGACTGTGGCTGTCCTGTGCAATGTTAATTTCCCATCAATCTAAAACAGACCATGTGCATAATTTAATTTTTCCTAAATCCCTGAATCAAGTCTGAAATGGGAATGCTTTTAATGGACATAGCATATTAGTTTCATGTATAATATAATTTAACAAGCTAATTAAAACCAGTTGACAGAATCCAAGCCATTAATATTTTTCGTAAGGATTCTAACTAGGCTTCCACTTACAGAGGTGTTTGAAAGACGGCAGTGGGAATGATTAATACCTAATTAATTATTCCTTTATTTGTTCTAACTCTACAGCCTAATGAGTTGAAATAGTATCTTTCGGCATGCTATATTGAACCATTACTTAATCTGTCTTCAGTTTCAAGTAGCTCTATAACCTGTTTATGTGTTGCAGTCTAGGCAGATTGAATTTGGAGTTACGTTTTACCACAAGAAGAGATGCATCACTCCAGTATGCTTTTTCCATCCTAAATTTTTACTGATTTCTATTATTCCCTGTTTTACATGAAGTTAAAAAAAAAAGAGGAGGTCTATATCCCAAATGAAATGTAGTGTTTGCTTTGGATCATCTAGGACTCATTTGTATAAAAGTCAATAAATTGTATTAATTAATTCATATAATACAGCTGTATAATATAATTTTACATCTTTTTCTGTATTTTGATCATTTAGCTAGAGGTAAATTGGATTTATCCAAATGAAATTATGATTGCAAATTGATTATTTTAAATCACAATAATAAAGTAGAATAAATCTTTTTTAAATAATCACTATAACTCTTTAGTGTTTGTACTTTTTTGATTATTTTCCTAAAGAAAATGAAATATTTATTTGGCATAGTTCTGTGCTATTTCCTAACCAGGTTGATACGCTATATCCATATACATTTATTTTAAGTATTTATATAGCTTAGCACACATTTATTCAGATTCCTGTTTTGTATGTTTTTCACTCTTTATTTACTAAATTATATTTTTTACCCGTGATTTGGCAAGCGACGGTTAGCTGCAAATTTGATTTCAGTTAGCATGTGCAAATTACTTTAAATGTGCAAATATATAAGAAAAAAAGTAGCTTATTCAACCATGCAGTGTGTTTAAAACTGATTGATTAAACAAAGCACTGTCTACAGTTAGTAAATAACCAGACTGCTACTAGTCAGCAGGGATCCTTGTTTTCCCTGATAAAAATCCGGGGTGGGCAGGGGACACCTTCCTAGGGCAGTGTAGGGCTCACAGTGGCAAGGAGCTTCCCCCACTCACCCTGCTCTGCCTTGTGTGCCAGGTCCCACCTGCTGGGCTGTGGAAGCCCTAGAAGACGGCAGCAGGGCAGGGAGCCCAAGCCTGCAGCACACAGCCCACACTTGCCCCGTGCATGTGCTCTCCTCTATTTGCTCCGGGAGCACGTGCAGTTGCCACCCCCGCCACAGCCCTGCAACCACACTTTGCAGTCCTAGGCTCCAAGCCCCACACACCGCCCAGATGGGCAACAACCCCAGCCCCAACCCTGCCCAACTCCCTCCCTATGGGGGCCTCTATTCACGCACCCTGCCCCGCTTAGCTGCATGAGCTGCTCTGCACACCCTGCCTGACTGCCTTGCTCCTGCTCCTGCCAGCCCCTTGCAGGCCGGAACCCTGCCAGCCTGTAGAGAGCTCTTTGCAAAAGAGCAAAATCTGCGTGTTTCCATATTAAAATGAAAAACCCTTGTTTTTCTGTGATAAAAAGGAAAATTCACTATTTTCCTCTTTTTTCCATGGGAAACGGAAAACCCAGATCCCTGCTAGTCACTATAGCTTTTGTGTGAACAAAAGGATCTTATATTTTCTTACTTCATTTTGATTCATGACTTGGAAGAGAAAAAGAAACGTTTCTCAATTCCCATTTGGTTTCTTAACTTAGCATGAATTCGTTAACTGAAAGTGAATGAATATTCTCTTTGCACCTACAGAAGACATCAGCATGTCTAAAGCCTAGTTAAGCGTTTCAGCAAACTGGTTTTAGGTGTTTAACTAGGGACTTGCATTAGTTCAGTGGGGTTGTTTTTTTTTCTTAACTTGTATAGCAAAGGTACTGCTTAAATATTTTTAAAGTAAATATTTGTTAGATTGTGTAATTTTAAGGCTTTATCCTGGGTTGTTATACTTTATAAATAATGCTTTACTATGATTTTTATTTTTAAATCAATGTTATCCACCAAGGTTGGTAGAAGGTACAGAAGTAAAAATTTGTGACATTGCAATTTATAAAAAAAGACACAATGCATAAAACAACTTCAAAGCAATCAAACAACAAGCTCTAAACGAAGATAAATTAAACTTAGTTTAGGATCAGTGTTTCATTAAGTGGAGCTAAGTCTTCATGAATATTCATTCCCCAATAGTGGCAATAAAAAAAAAAAAAATATAGCAACTTTCGTGATGGTGATTTCCAGTAACTTGAAGTTATCTTCCTCATTCTCTCATCTTTCTGTTCAGAGCAAAACTAAAAATAAAACTGACTTGTATTCTCCTCTGTCAAACCTTCTGGTGCTAACTTTTGTAAAAATAATGTACCACAGCTTTCTAACTATGACTTGGAAGATGGATTCTAACTTTATTTTTACACTGTTTCTCCTCAAAGAAGACTGAGCAACAGTTATTAAAAAAAAACTAATTTATTCCAGTGTTTACCTCCTTGTAGAGGGGCCAGGTAGTGGGGGTAGGGTAGCGGCCAATCAGTGATGAGCCTGAGCCTATGTTTATCTCCTTATACCTTGTGGCACCCTTCAAAAGATCTCACAGCAGCTGGGTTCTCTGTGATACCCTTTCTTGGCAAAACTGAATGTTCATGCTCAAAGCTGCTTTGTGGAGCCCTTTCATAAATGCAGATGGATAAGGCTTTAGTCAGTTGACTGCTATTCAGAATCCTTTGGGCACTAGTGAAACTTCTAATGTTAATCTTGTTCTGTTGCTACTTAGGGAAAGTATAAGCAATACCTGAGGTAGCAACTAGCATTATTCACACTGGGATAGAAGACCTAAAAACTAAAGGTGGGAGTAGAGTAGCTTTTCCCAGTGCACCTTAGCTGGGAGGCTTTGGGTGGAATGATAAACTATTTTCCCCCTTTTCAGCAGTCATCAGGAAGTGAAGGACTACCTTTCAGATATACTAGCTGGAGGTTGTATCTGTATACATCACCATTTTAGGAATCCATCACTCTACAAGTAACGAGGAGCTGAAAGACAGGCTTTGTTGGTAGGGACCTACTTAATTTTCAGCGAGACAAAGGAATTTTTGGGGTTGGTCACAGTTCACAGAGCCAGTTTTGCACATGTTCCTGGCAGCCCTGGCCCTCGCTGCTGATTGGCAGAGAGATGGGAGGGGGGTGGGGGGACATTTGCAGACAATTGTGGATTTTGCGGTGTCTGCAAAATAGCGAATTAAGTGGGTCCCTATTCATTTGATGTTGCTATAGACCTAAGTCACAAAAGGTCCTTTTCACATTTGACATTGGTGGTGATCCTGGGAGGGAAGGTTCAGGGGGGGTTATGGCAGATTTTGGGGTGGCTAGAGCCCACCCTGTAGCCCCCCCTTCCAGCACCACTGCTGCCCACTCTGTGTGCTGCCCCAGCCCAGTCCCTTTGCTGAGAAGAGCCTGGCACTGCCCCAACCCCTGCCTGCAGTGGCAGCCCACCCCCTCCTCACACTAATCCAGGGGGCACATGCCCCTCTGTGCCTCCTGGGGTGCGCCAGTAGGGGGAGTTGCACCCCCAGATGAGCCACTTGCGAATCT